AAAAGTTGAATCTTTCTCATGGGCCTAGAAATGGGCCAAAATTTGCACTAAAATCTAAATATTTAAAAAACTATAAAAGTCATAAACACCAAAAGTCATAGCATACTAGTCCAGACCCAGCCGCACAAAAGGAAAAAGGAAAATAATAATAATAATAATAATAATAAGAAGAAGAATAAATCCGACGAATAGTAATAAGTGTGCCTTTTGGCATAGGCACACTTAATAAATACACTGAATTAAAGAGGATTCATTGAATTAAATGTGTGAGGATGAGCTCTGCGGGTCTGTTTAGTTTCCTTGTTTCCTAACTAAGCGGGTCATTAACCTTGTTTAGTTTATCTGGTTAAAAGCAGCTTACAGGTCAGCAGGATGGACTCTGACGCGGCTGCAGACTAAAAACAGCTCGTCCACCAGGTCAGGTCATCCAAGTGGGACAAAATAACACTGCTGCTGACAGGAAACACCGAACACCTTCTGTTAGACAGCATGATGCTGCGGTGTCTTTAATCCATAATCCAACTTTTCAGGATGCTACTGCTCATATTTTATAAAAAAATGTTTTATTTTTAAATACATTCTAACACACACAGACAGCTGGATAGCATAGTAGTAGTATGACTACATGCCTTGGGAGCAGGAGTTACAAGTCTAATTCCCACCTGAGGCATCTGTATCCGGTAAGGGTCCCCCCATGCTAAGCAAGCCTACTGCAGAGAGATAACTATGAAGTCATAATGGATCAACAAGGTCGGCATCAGGTGTTGAGGAACCAGGGCACCCTGATGAGAACTGAGCTGTAGGTGCTTTTATGGCTAGAGACTACAACACAACCCGAGATTGGGTCCCTGATGGAAGAAGGATTGTTTAGTGCGTGAAGCTTGAAAGCTGGATCCTCCAGTAGCCGGTGACCAAGACTACATGAAGTACCCTCAGAAGCTCTACTAGATGATGTGAATGCAGCACTACAGACGATACCTACCAAGACTAACCACCATCAGCATGGAGAGGGAGACTGGAGATGCTACCAGGCATCGTATATGGAATGCCATAACCAAGTGGCTGGCATAGTATACAGAAACATCTGTGCTGAGTATGGGTTGAAAGTACTGAAGTCAAAATGCGAGACACCCCAGGGTGGTGGAGAATGACTGAGCTAAGATCCTGTGGGACTTACAGATACAGACGGACAAAATGGTGGTGGCTAACCAACCGGACACAGTGGTGGTGGAGAAGCAGAAGATACACGGCCATACTGATAGCGAATGACAGCAACATCAAAACCAAGGAACACGAGAAGCTTGAAAAGTACCATGGGCTCAGAGAAGATGTGGAGGGGAAGGTCCCAGTGGTAATTGGTGCACTAAATGCAGTGCAGCTAGGTGAGTGGCTCCAGCAGATCCCAGGAACTACATCTGAGATCTCTGTCTAGAAGAGCGCAATCCTAGGAACAGCTAAGATACTGCAGCAGGACCTCCAGGCCTCTGGTAGAGCACCCGAGCTTGAAGGATAGACTGCCCGCAGCACACACGTTTGCTGCAGTGTTTCAACACTTCCAGGTTTAACTCTTTTATATGGAAAAGCATGAAATGTGCAGATGTTTTCTCATTTAAGCTAAATACTATCAGATACACAACATGTATTATATCCCGTATTACATACAGTATTATCACACTGCGCTTGGTTGTCTGTCAAGGGTAGAAAGCAAGGAGCATTTAATCAAGTTAAATCCTGTCAATGCCTGTGTGTGTGTGTACCTCTCCTTGTGGTTCCACTCCCAGTGTGTATCCTGGAAAATCTTCCCACAGCAGAAGAGTTTCTTCAGTTTCCTCCCAGGCCAGACTGTCACAGTCATCCTCAAACTCACACTCCCTCCTACACACACACACACACACACACACACACACACACACACACACACACACACACACACACGCTGTTTAAGCATCATTTCTGAAAGTTTCAGACGTTAAATAAAGAACAAAAAACACCTACAGCTGGTTCAGCATCTTCTGCATCTGCTCATTAATCTGATTGGCCGAGGTGCTGCACGAATCCTCGCTTTTGGCCCCACCTCCCTCGCTCTCCGACACGCTGAGCTCGTCTCCATCCCCGCCCTTCAATGACTGCCCGCTGTGTTTTCTGACCCGGCGGCTCAAAGTGGAGGGCGGCGTGGGCACCTGCTGCGTGGAGACGGGTTGGTTTGAAAGTTGCAGCAGACCGTGGTTCAGGACATTTTGTGGCCGTGGATCTACCTGGAAGATGTGATTCATGTCCTCGCAGTTCCTCTGCTGGGCAACATCACAGAGGCGGGCGGTGATGTCAATCCGGCGGCAGATATCCATGTCCACCTTCATGGCCTTTTCCTGGATTTTAGTGTCCAGATCTGACAGGTTCTGACCCAAAGACAGAAAAGTTTTCATTTTAGTCATATTTCCTCTTGTTCTGCTAAATAAACACAAAGCTAACAATATCATGTTTTTTCTGTGTATTTTTTCTTTGTCTATAAAAGGGGAAAAAAGAGCATTTCACCATTTAAAAAAAACCTTTGTCAATATATGGACCAATCGAGCTTATGTGCACAGTCCCAGGACGACACATGTAATTAGATGTAATTAATGCCTAAAAACTAAATGGATGAAGTTGTGACTCATTTCTTTTTATAAAGCTGTAGCAGACTCACGTTGCTGACGAGTCCTTTGAAGAGAACGAGCTCCTCTTTCAGCCGCTTCACCCTCAGAGCCAGCTCGTCCTGACACACCTCGCTCTCCTGCAGGTCCTACAAACACAAACATCTGTGGGTCAGATCAATCAGCTCTGCACAGGTATGCAAGTGTAAGACATCCATGAGGTCTTTACGTCCACACGTGATGTTTTCTTCAACCTCAATCGAAAACTTGAAATGTTTTTTCAGCTCATCTCAATCCCATCCCATTCCCAGTGCTTTTGGACCCACAAGTTTTAAACCCACATTTCCTCCTATCTCCTTGTTCTCCTCTTTTTATTTAAAGTTTGAGCAGGTTATATGTTCTGTGAATGCAAACTCTAAGCACTAAAAATATCTGTATATCTGATGAAGTGTTAGGACATTTAAAACATCTCAGGTTACATATCTAAGAACTTTTTAAGGATTTGTAAAAACCCTGGAACAGCTGTTTTCTCTGCTCTGTGCATTTTCAAAACAGAAACAGAAATAGTGGTCCAGCCCCGCTCTCGAGCTGCTCACTAATATTAGGTGTGCTCCAGGTAAACTGAACTATCCCCAACTGAGAGGACAAAGTTTACCGAAGGACACACGTCTTACTTTAAGGATCAGAGAGAAGTATGTAAAAACAGTTTTACCAGCTTCATGAAAATGACACGAGCTAAATTTGCACTGATGTGCTGATGCTTCAGCTTCAAAAAGCTGACTATCATCAGACCCGAGTTCATGATGAGAAGCTGACTGTGTCTGTAAAACCAAACACTTTTAAAATGAGAAACATTTAATCTGAACACAAGCTAATATTTTTATGTCAATTTTACCTCCTCGAGTTCAGCCACCTTCTCCTGCAGGTCCATTCTGGCTGTGTACTCTTCCTCCCATCTGCAAACACAAGCAGAGCAGACGTCTCGCACAGAGTGAAGCACAGAAACTCTCTGAAGCAGACAGACACGTTTACGTGTGACAAAATAAAATGCAATAAAACTAGAAAAAAAAAGGTGAGTGCATTCATACTCCACAAAGCATTACCACGGCCATCAGCTGTTTAGTTTAAGCAACACTTTCCTACAGAGTTTAACTCCGTCTATTGTGTCCTACAGTCAGAAGACTGAGCCACCTTAGCTGATGATGAGCAGCTCTACCTGAGCTCCTCGCCTGATCTCTAAGACTGAACTCAGACACCCTTTGGAGAAAACTCATTTGCACTAAACGTCCTCATGAGTAGTACTGAGCACTCAGTCGACAGCTCACTCTTACACTGGGCTCCTTGGCGGCGTTCGCCTGCCCCTGATCGCAGCCTCTCATCTCCTGACTCAACTTACTCCACCTCCTCCACCTTCAACTGCAGCTGGTGGCTTCTTTGGGAAATACAGTTTGATTTAGAGGTTTAACATGAAAGCCCACTCTTTGAGCCGTACTCGTCTGTCTGTCCTCCGAGTGATTAACATTATCTGATAATACTACTGAAAACGATGATACACTTGTGAACGTGTGTGTGTGTGTGTTAGCTGACGTCACAATAATTAGTCTGTCAGGTTACCGTGGAGATTTTTTCAGGTGGACTGAAACAGGCGATGAATTTTCGCTTCTTTATCTTCATGTCTGCAGCTTTAAGGCAAAAACCTTCATGATCACCTGACACAGACCCACACTGTGCAGCATCATGGCCCCTCCCAGCTCCACCGCTGTCATTACTCAGCATGTGTTACATAAGGAGAAACCAAGAAGTGTGCATTTGGAGCATGAAGGCATGAAGAGCACGCTGCAGTCACTACAAACAGAGAGCAGGACGACCGGCTCATATCTGGTTCCTGTGTTGTGGTGCGATGCCTCATAAATACGACCTCAGGATGATATTAAAAGAAAAATGGTTTGTCTTACTCTCAATTAGCACCACCATGTAATAAAGTCAGACAAAATCCGATTATATTCAATAATATTCAGCCATCTCTCCTGATACGACACTAAAGCTTAATGTATAGTATTGATCGGATGTCTTTGCACTCATTCCTCACATACGTAAAGTAACATGAGATCAGAGGAAGCTTGTGGCTCCATGTCATGACTGGTTAAAAGCAAAAAGACCTCAAAAATAACTGTGACAAGAAACCCTTCTGGATGTGGACCGATCAGTGGATTAGATAAAGCTGATATACGATAGCAGGACATATGGTCTAATCTGTTTTAGATCATGAAAGTTTAAACTGGGGTAAAATCTCTGCAGTCACATGTATCACATGACTTCCTGAACAGCTTATCAAGAGAACACACCATCAGTGCAACACAAAGTCAGTTAAACTCCAGGGTTATTATTCTGCACTGTCAGGAAGCATAAACCATTGTGAGTCCATTCGATCTGCTTTGGTGCCAATGACAATGACAACAGGTGCTCTGGAGAGGCAACAACAAGCCAACCCCCAGCCTGAATCTTAACTATGAAGCAGCTGGTGTGTTTCAGCTGCAACGACATGAGTCAGTGTGACAGAGATGCTCAGATATGAAAACCAGAGAGAGCGAGCTGCTGTCCTCGCTCTCGTCTGTTTGCCAGTCCTAACACGCGGCTCTGCAGTGAGGCTGCTGGTGGTTGGTGTGTTTGACTGATTAAAGACACAGCAGCCGGTGTACCTGCGCTGACGTCCTAACTGCTGGGTGATGCAGACGCTTCGTAAACCGTTTACTGCCTGTTGAGCTTTTTAAGAATGAGCCCAGGCCGCTGCGCCGCACTCAGATGTGACGTCAAAGAATTTGAAAAGCCCTCTGCAGTAACGACGCAGTGCCGCTCGTTTGATCAAACCACCTGAAACAGACTTGTTCTCAGAGCAAGCCAATATCGACTGAAAGGCTCAGAACCATTTAATACTGATTTCCTTTAAGTGAGACTGTGATCTTTATCTCCAATGAGGTTTTAGCTGCCGACCTTCATCAGAGCTGGGCAATACTGTGAATGTGAATTTCACCATCCTCACACTGAAGTTACATCTGCAGAGGTCGTTGTTCTGTCCTTAGAGGGAGCATCAGTGACACACGGGCAGAAAACACCTCAGTAAACAGCAAACTGCAGCTCTGTCATTTATTTATAGATGCAGAAGCCAAAAAGTAAAATCACCAAGCCTGCAGCATCACACAGCAAAGCTGCTAAATATTAATCAAGGTGAACGGCACCTGGAGCAAAATCAAGCTCACCAACAAAGTGATTTTAAAACTGTTCCAATTTCAAAGAGACAAAGAGAAAAATGAGAAGTTACACAAAGCTTGTGACAAAAAAAAAAATCACAAAAACATCCTTGTCAAAAGTGGCAAACATCGGATTTACTCTGACCACCTTAGACATGCCGACATCTAAAAACTAAAAACTATGCTAAACTGACCTACAGCCTGTGGAAAAGCAAACTGCTCGACCTACAATCTCCTGACCTCTTTTTACCATCTCATCATCACACAGTGGATCTCCTTATAAAGTGTGACAACACCTACAACAGGTTCACAAAAACCTAAAAAAACCCACCTAGTACACATTTAAATGAGCAACTTTTCCTGAAAAAATGGGACGTTTGCACCTCACATACAGTTATAAACTCATCAGCAACCTCTTTAGTTCAGCTCTAATCAGCCAATGCATTTGGGCATGCAGACATTATCAAGACGATGCCCTGAATTTCAAAGCAAAAAGCAGTATAAGGAGGAAAGGTGATTTAAGTGACTTGGAACGTGGCATCGCTGTCGGTGCCAGTTGGTCTGAGTATTTTAGAAACGGCTGACCCACTGGGAATTTCCCACTACGGTTTATAAACCGTTGAGGAATATTTCAAGCACCTTGTTGAATCTATGCCACGAAAACGAAGGCAAAACAGGGTCCAACCTAGTACTAGGAAAGGTACCAGTATACCTAATAAAGTGACCAGTGAGTGCAACTTCTAACAGTTAAAGGGGGATAAACAGTGACACACACTCTTCCTTAAATCTTTCCCCTTTAAAGATGCATGCGACGACCTTCCTGTACCTTTAATGATCAGTTCTGACACGTCAACACGTGATTTGACGGCCATGAGAACAGTATGTGCACAATGATGGCTGCACAGGCAGCGTCCACCCTGAAAAAGTCTGAATGCACATCCAGTCATGTTGTTCAATAAGCAGGCTGAAATAAACAGAAACTGCTTAGACCAGAAAACTGCTTCAAGGGTTAAACCTAACAGGCCCTCAAGGAGTAAAGAGTGAAGACATGACACAATCAGGAAACCTGCGTCTGTATGCAAGGTGATGCTATCGCGCTCTCAAGCACACAAAAAAGTACAAGTCACTGACATTTGCTGCTCTCTGTTACAGAGTGAGCGATTAATGCCAGAGGAGGTAACACAACAGTGTCAGTGAGTATTTATGTGCAATATGTGGCTGAAAATCTGCAGATGTTTGATCTGGTCTGACCAGTGAAAGCACATCAGCTCACATCATCTCAGTAACGCTGTTTGGGAGAAAAACATCCCAACCCGGTGTCAAATAAACTGCCCTCATATGCAGCCTCTAAACTGTCACCAGTGCTAACCATTTTGGTTACAACCATGTTGGACTGCTTTTGTTGGAGCCAGAGATTGGGACACGATGGTGGAGTGCTAAAGCATGATTTGCCAGCTCCATTCATAAACTGTATAGCTGCATTCATAGACTTCCTGTTTGAACTTCACTCTTGCAGTCAGCCTCAAGTGGACAGTAGAGGAAGTGCAGTTATTGCCACTTGCACACAGTCAGCTTTATTGTTTTAACCCTTAGAGTTTACTCAACATCTGATTGGATAACTTCCCAGATACGGGGAGTAGAATTAATGCTGTGCTTATTAAATGGCACGCTCAGCCATCCATACGTGTCTGCATACTTTTAACTTCTGTTAATCATTATTAATGTTTGCAAAAAGCAGAACGTCGGAGAAAGAAACCCGAGCATTTTGCAGCTGTGTAGTTTGGAGACGAGCTAATGATGACGACGAAGATGTTGATGTCAGCGCCTCTCTGACGCTGCAGAAGCTCGCCTCGGACACACTGGGTGGGGAGGTGGGGAGTGCAGAGAGGGATGAGGAGTCAGCGAGGACAGAGAGACTCAAAGAGGAAGACCGGGCAGAGTGAGAGCATTTAGAAATGGAGAAATGTAATAAGATGCCAGATGCTGAGAGGGAAGCAGAGGGTAAAAAGATAAAATGGAGAGAAGGAAAAGAGGGAGGTGTCAGGTGGGGTGACATCACTGCTGGCGGTCACAGCCCGGTGCTGCATTGCAGGTACCAAAACAAGACCCGGCAGGGAGGAGGAGGGATAGAAAAAAAAGGATCAAACAGGAGGAGGAAAGAAAGAAAGGAGGGGATGAGTCATGAGAGAGAAAAACAACAGCTCATGTTCAACTTGTCCCCAGACAGCGTGTCCCTGCAGACACACATGAAGCTGAACGTGTCACATGAAAGGAAAACTGAAGACCTTTATCCTCACTGGAAAGAATATCAGTCAGCTCAGGAAGAATATTGTTATGTATTTGTAATTTTGCAGCCTGCTTTTTGTTTTTATGCTCAACCCATGTAACTGCGACACAGTTTTGCCAGCAAGGAAATAAAAGAAAGACTTTCACATTTGTCCGTCAGAGCTGCATCGATTCAGGCTTTTAAAGGGCTCTCCATGGTAGATAATTAAACTTGCAAAGAAAATTTGTAAAATAATATATAAAAACCCTCGTTAGCTCCCTGCACACAAATAAAAGTCCTGATTAGGAGGATGGAAGGGTTTGGGATTTTGTTTCTCTTTGATTGATTTACTTTTGCTTTTCCTTACTGGCGAGGCTCTGGTACCAAAAGCTACTCAGTTAAATTTAAGCACTAGAACTACTCGATTATGTCAGGCTTAGGCACCAGAAGCTATCAGGTTAGGTTACATCTTTGACAATGAGGTTTTTAGTTCTGAACACCAAAATCTACTCGCTAAATTTAAACACCTAACCGTGGTTTGGGTTAAATTATTCCCCTTTGCAACGTTAACCCAGCACACTGAAAAATGTTGCATTTAAGTTCCACTGCACTTAAATGTGGCAACAAAGTGTCTTTTCAAGTATCTCAGGAGTGGCAGTCCCACATTAATACCCAAACCAAGCACGTCGTGTTTAATATGTCTGTAAACCATTAATGTCAGATTTTTGTTGATGAACTTGCTGCTTTCTGAGTTTCACTTTCATTTACTTCATTAAACGTTTGAGCTCTCGCCTAACCTTTTACTTTATTGTGCTCCAGAGTAGCGAATGCTTAAGGACACTGCAGTAATCATCTATCCTGTCATGACAAAATGACTGAAAACATGTTAAAATGATTCAAACTGGTGCCCACAAATTTTTAAATTGTTTCTATTTGCACGTCACTCTCAAAGGTCTTAAAAAGACAAGAATTTAATGTAATTTAGTGCAGTGCAAAAACTAAAAGCTCTGCAGTATCTGAACATCACAGGTCAGGGAGTCACTGCTGTTGAGTGAAATCGATGTGACTGAAGGTCTGTCATGCTGAGGCCTCCTGCCTCAGCAGGCTGATGCACAAAGCAGTGAGGTCAGTGCTTTTTCAGCATCAAGCAGCGGTGCAAAATAGTGTTTCAATGTCTTTAAGAGGGGAACAGGTCAGCAGTGAAACTGTTTTTTTCTGCGAGCTGTACAACAAATCTACTGCCTAAAAGAAACCACGACTGCAGAAGATTAGCAAAAATGCGGGTAGGATTGTGTAATTATGTGAAGCACCCTGCTCTGCACCAACTACATATTTCCCCAGGGTAATGAAAAATAAGATGTCATAAAATTACATGTAAATTGTGATAAAGCTCATAAAAAGATCCAAGTAGTCCTCAAAATAAAGCAGTGACTGGCACCAGAGTTCACTGATTAATCCAGAGAAATAAACAGCTGACAAATGAAGGCAAAGCACTTTCAGATTTTATGACTCAAACAGTGTTTCTGCGGAGTTTTGCAGCACTTTTAAAAAGCGACCGACCAAAAACATCCTGTAAAGCAGCCCTGCTCATTGATCAGCAGCATCGCCCTCGCTGACCCCGTACAGCCAGAGACATTAATGGCAGCGCCCATCCTCGCAGGGTGACTTATGACTGCACTTAAATATAATAACTATCAGGTTTCATGTTTCTCTGACCAACCAATCACTACAGAGAGGAACAGGAGCCAGCTTGGTGATCGGGTCGGCCATTTTCTTACTCAGCTGTACACTTTCACTATTTTTCCATCTAAGATATCAGTGGTGCTTTTATCTGTATTTGGAAACCAATACTTAGCTTTGTTTAGTAGTAGAAATGAAATCAGTTTTACATCGATGATAAGTTTCTGTTCCTCCTAACAAAAGGGCTTCAAATGATGTATTATTTACTTTGAATTAAAGATGAGCAGCCTTGGTGTTTTCTTGGTATCAGAGGGCAGGTGCTGCTGCTGCGGCCCGTCATCAATATTTTGTGGTTTCAGGTCGATATGATTCTGAGAAAAGGAGTCAGATGACTCAGAAACGCTCAGAGTGATGCTTTCATCTTTTACTACATCCTTCACTCTTTTTTTACCCTCAGCTAAACAGACAAAAACTATCAGGAATTTCTCAACTTTCAATAAACCGTATGTTATCTTATACTTTTTTGTGTTTCTGTTTTAATATGGAAATCTCACATCAAGTGACAGTAAATCATATCATCAAAAGAATTTGGAAATCTCCGTGCACAATGAGCAAGGTTTAAAATGTGGACTGGATGCTGGATCTTTGGGTCATTGAGTGGCACTGCGTTAAAAGCAGACATTAATTCTGTGACGGAAATCACAGCATGGGCTCAGGTACACTCCCAGAAATCACTACCTATGAGCACAGTTCAATCTGGGTTAAATCTCTGTCATGTACAGAGAAAGACACATCCAGAAACACTGCTGCCGTCTTTGGGTCAAAGCTCATTTAACATTTGAGGTAAAGCAAAACAATCCAAATGTGGAATTCTATTTGGAAAGCATGGATGCTGTGTCTGCAAACTAAAGACAAGAGAGACCATCCAGCCTGGCACTCAGAATCTTTGTCTGCATCTCTGACAGTATGGGGGTGCATTAGTGCCGATAAGGCACTGGCAGCTTGCCCCTTTGGAAAGGCACCATCGATGCTGAAAGGTATATACAGGTTTTAGAGCAACATGTACCCCTATTCATTTTTCCCCAGGGAAGGTCTTGGATATTTCAGGAAGACAATACTAAACCTGCATCAAATACAACAGCATGGCTCTGCGGTAAAAAAGCCCGAGGTTGAACGACCTTCACCAATGAAAACATTTGGAGCATCATAAAATGGAAAATAGGATAAAGACGACCCAGGACTGTTGAGCAGCTAGAATCCTGTGACAAGAACAGGACAGCATTCCTCTCCAAACTGTCCAGCAGCTGGGCTCCTCAGTTCACAGATGTTCACAGACAGCAGAGGGGTAAACACAACCCTCCCTGAACGTTTTTGAGACGTTGTGCTGCCATCAAATTCAAAATGATCTAATATTTTTCTTGATATGCTAAATTTTCTCAGTTTAAACCTTTGATATTTTTCTCCATTCATGTGTGTTTTTGATATCTGCAAAGCACTGTTTTTATTTACATTTTACACAGTGTCATTTTTTTAGAAACTGTGGTTGTAGAAACTGAGTCACCTTTTACTGAATGCTGAATATCAGTGAGTGCATTTGTCAGTGAAGAAAGACACACATGAACCACAGCAACATGAAAAAGAAAAAAGTTGATTTAAATCACATCTGAAAACATATTTTTATAAACTAGTTCTTTGTTCATATTGTGTCTTCTGGGCTTTTTGTTGTTTTACTAACTGCCTGATGTTATTGCAATGTTTGATATCTTTTATTTGTTAAGGAAAATGTGTATTTTGCATTTTGCATTCCTATTTTCTTGTTATTTTCACTCAGCTTCACTGTAATTTTGTTCTTTCACTGTAGCTCTCGGTGTAGACCTACTGAAACTGAAACTTGCACCACGCACTGACATGGAGCCAAAGGTTTGAGGTTTTGAAGCAAACTGCAACTTTCATTTTTACCCTGCAATTTCTGGGAATATCACTTTTGATGGTTTGAAGTACTTTGTAAACTCAGCTTCAAATGTGCTGCATAAATAATTTCTATTACCTGAATCACTGCTTCTTTTGTGTGACCAAATTGCGTTATTATTTTATATAAATCTGTTGCTGCAATTGGAAATTTAAAGCAAATTGTTATTTTTCTTTAATTTTATTAAGATTAAAAAATACATTTAAAAAATGAGCTATTGTTTTATAACACACAGCAGTTTTATTTTTTTTTTTTTATTATTTTGTGAATTACAGCTATTATTTAACTAAGAGTTCAACAGAACCACTGACCCCATGGCCAAGGTCTATTAGACAAGTATAATAGAGAAGTTGATCTGCAGTTGCTGACCCAACTGGACTGTTTGGAACCTGACAATATGCTCAGTGATGCAGAAGAAATCTCTGAATGTCTAAGCAGCCGAATCCTTAATCTCCAAGACAAAAATCAGACCCATGATGTCATAAACCACCTGTAATCAGCCACCTGTGCACGCACGCTCACGCGAGCACACACACACACCATGGTGAAAACTTCACATCACAGGTAAAGCATCTTATCACCCAGCGCCCCTTACCTCCTTTTATATTCATCCCTTTCTCTCTTCACTTTGGCCAGCACGTTGTACAGAGCCCTGATCTCCGGCGTGATGGTGTCGATCTGGACTCCAACGCCGTCCGGGTGAGTCCAGGAGACCCCGGGCCCCGTGACGCACGACTCCCTCCCGGTGCCAAAGCGGCGGGTGTGGTTGAAAGACCAGATCGTCCCGGGGAGGAAGCGAGGTGGCGGAGGAGGGGGAGGTGGGGGAGCGTTGGAGGTGTTTGTCCCAGTGTGGGTGGAGTACTTCTCGTTGATGTTGGTGATGGTTTTGGTTGGGTCCATGGGACTCAGAGCCGGGCTGATGGAGAAGCCGGAGGTGGTGAGGTTGGAGTTTGAATCCGTGCTCAGGTATTTGTTGTCAAACAGAGGAGGGGGGTTCAAGGTGGGGGAGAGGAGGCCTCCGGGCAGGTAGGCAGAATTGTTGGCGTTGAGGAGCGGGATGAAACCCGGCCTTGCAGGGATAGGCCCGATGAATCCGGTCTGGACTCCTATGTCTTTGGTGAGGGGCTTCTGGTGTCCATCGCCCCCGCTGTTGCCCTCCAAAGCCTGCTGCAGCTGCTTCTCCAGCACCTTGTTCCTGCGCTCCAGCTCGTGCACTTTGGCCAGAAAGCAGCGGAAGCGCAGGTTCAGGGTCTTCAGCACGCTGATGTTGGAGCCCAGGTCGTTGCGCAGAGCCGTGGCCGCCGGGGGGACGCGGTGCAAGGGGCTGCTCAGGTGCAGGTAGGCGAGGCCCGACGGTGGCAGAGCGCCCAGGTCCAGCCCGGACAACCCATCAAGCCCGAACCTGCCGTGGTCCCCCAGGAAGTAGCCCGGGTCTGGGATGGCGGAATCTGTTTGGCTCGGCATTTGGGGATGTTGCTGCTGCGGTGCCAGGAAACCGCTCTCCTCCAGGACCGGATTCATACTAGAGTAGGAAAATCTGAAGTGCTCGAAATCCGGCATGAACCCAGACTTTTATAGATTCACTCGGAGAGGTAATTTAATATATTTATGATCCCAAAGTGGAACTTGGCCCAGCAGCCTCTTCTCGATTACACCCGATGATCCTCTTTATGCGGAGGAGCTGTGCGCTGAAAGTCAGAGGATGCGTTTTAAAATGATGCTTTAAGGGCCCAAAATGGCAGCAAAATGATCAAATCCAAAACGAGCACTGCAGTAAAGCTGTGCGCGCACAATGGAGCATAAAACTCGTAAAAGCAGATACACCACTGCACCCTGCAGCAGAATTACGGTAAACTTTTAGGCAGGACTAATTTCTAAAGCGAGATCAGAGCCGCGATGCGCACTACCAAAACGTGATTTTTTTCTCTTAATTCAAGCACTGGGGGGGGAAAAAACCCAAAACCATCACGCTAAATAAATATTGATTTGCCTTTATGAACATTTATGCAACGTACCTACAGTCCGAGGTGTAAACGCCGACTGTGGCTCCAGGTAATCAGGCGAAGTCAGTGAATCAGCGGTGCGACACAGACCAGGAATAAACAAGCGAGTGACTGCGGCTGCAGCTTACCGTACTCATTCTGAAAGCAGGGCACCAAGACGTTTCAACTACAGTAATAACCGGACTAAAGGAGCATCTACTTAAACGTGAAATGAAAGCATTTTGGTATAAATACCAACAACCGAAGTTTAGAGCTCCTCAATTAGCCAAAATTCCTTAAAATAGTTTAACAAGCACAAATCTGAGAGAAAGCTAGCGCCAATCTGCGCACTTGTTTACAGAGATGACACTTTTATAGAAGCTAGACAGTTTGAACAACTCCAGATGGATTAACGACCTTCCAGCAGTGAGACTACAAATGCATTTCAACTTTATGCAAAACCACTTTGGTAACATGGAGAAAACTAAGCACATTATAGAGCCAGCTCACGTTCAGTTACAACCAGTGTTTGTCAAACTACACTCATTACATGTCAGGTGTTTCCATAGTCACAAAAGTGACTTTTACAGACTAGATGTCATTGAAGGGCTGGATTTGTAAGAAGAAGCCAGTCTGGACAGGTCTAATGCTACACCTGTCCATTCTAAGCTATATACACACACACACAATTTAAATTGCATATCACAATGTGCTTTAAATGCCTTATACCAGGGTTAATGCTGAAAGCTCTTACACCGAATGTAAGCATGATCTGAAATAAGGCTTCAGATATCCATGAAGTTTGCATAGGCAGCAAAGTTTCTCCCTGCTTAGTTTCCTTTTGGAAAAGAAACTACACATTTCTCATGAATTCTGTTCTTTATTTTCAAGTGCAAAGGAGCCACAAGCTTAGTAACAATACTGCAAAGAATCTGTACAAACATCACTTCTGACAGAACAGGGGACAAGCTTCTTTTAAGCAGGACAATACATTTTCTCTCCCCATTGGTCAGGTTCTTCAGTTTGTCCTTTCTGCAGATGCTGTGACATCCAGGTGAAGGAATGATGAATCAGGATTTCACTCCTTCGAGAACATGTGCACGAGCAGGTCACACACACGGTTGCTGTAGCCAAACTCATTATCGTACCTGCAGGTACAAAAATGAGAGCAGAAGGTTCAACAGTGGAAACGTGAATGAAGATGGGAAAGCTGCAGGCTTTAGTGCATAATGGCTAACTGTTTAAATCACTGAAGTTTGTCTTCTTGGGGCACTAGGTGTAAACTCAGTGACAAAGAATACCAGTCTATTACATTTTTACTCATTTCATACTACATGAGATTCAGATTTCCATTTGTAGTACAAACAGTTTTTAGTAATCAATTCATTTAAATGCAGCAAACAAGCTTTGGTCAACTGAGTTTAATAAATGCAGTTTCATACTAGAGACATGTTCATCGAGTCTCACCATGAAACCAGCTTGACAAAGTTGTCGTTGAGTGCAATGCCAGCTCCAGCGTCAAAGATTGATGAGTGAGGGTCACTGTTGAAGTCTGTGGACACAACCTGAACAGAAAGAGTGCAAGTGTAGTTGTTCCGTTAGTGTGCCAGTCCTCGAGCACATCTGTAAAGCTAGTTAGACAAATGCTGCCACCTAGTGACTCCTGTGTGGCCACACAAGTGAAACAGTCACATTCTTCCCTTTTAAGAGTGTAATGTAGCCTGGTGTTTCAGATGTGGGTGTTTTGTACCTGGTCCTCTGTGTATCCCAGAATTCCCTTCATGGGTCCCTCAGCAGCAGCTTTGATAGTTTTCTTTATGTCGTCATACTTTGCCTGAGATGAGAAATTATAATCCTCAGATTAGACAAATGCAAACTCTAGATAAGGGAACACGAATCAGCTTTATGTCAATTATGAGACGCTTACAGGCTTCTCCAGTCGGACAGTAAGGTCAACGACAGACACGTTGGGGGTGGGCACACGGAAAGCCATACCTGTCAGTTTACTGTAACAAACATTCAGAGCTCAGGGCATTTTGCTGATAGTTTTAGTCATTACACCGTCCTGATCCTTTTCAGGAAGACACATGTGCCATTTTAAAATTGAGAATTAGAGGAGAAGTACCCGTTCAGCTCAGGGATGACCTTGCCAACAGCCTTGGCGGCTCCAGTGGAGGCAGGGATGATGTTCTGGGAGGCACCACGGCCATCTCTCCACATTTTACCAGAGGGCCCGTCAACAGTCTTCTGTGTGGCAGTGACAGCGTGGACTGTGCTCTGAAAGAGCAGGTAAAGGTTATTCAGAGGCAGAATCAGATCGTCCCAACAATGTGAGCTAATCTGAGCTGCTGTCGGACAAGTTAAACAGAATTTCTTAAGAGGCAAGTAGCTTTGATGTTGTAGAGGGACCATATTTACTTGATGCAGCAGAAACACTTTGTGACAAGAGAACTACTGGAAAGCAGGACCCTGATATAGACACCCAGTATCCAAGCTTTCTGATCATGTGATGTTTGTGAAGGGCCATCAGTCTCCAGCATCAGTGACTAAAATTTGATGAGTCTGCCGAATGTCGAACTGAGGAGACTTTGAGCTTTTTATTGGCATTGTGCAGTTTTTGCACAGTGAAATTGGGTAGCTGGACCACAAAGGTGCAAAAGACAATATACAATGAGGGAAAAAATAAATAAAGTGCAATGTATACGTATGTGAGTACTAGCAACATGTAACTAAATGAAGTTGTTGCTGAATGCATTGTACAGTTTGTTGGCCGACTGCTCTTAAAGTTCCTAAAATCTTCTGGTTATAAGAGATTCACTCAAAAGAAGCAGTATCAGTTCTTTACCATGAGACCTTCCACGATGCCAAAATTGTCATTTACGACCTTGGCGAGGGGAGCCAGGCAGTTGGTGGTGCAGGAAGCATTGCTATGGAGAAAGCACATGTCAACTTAATGTATGACAGCTTAAGTGCAGAGATGCTACACCAAACAAACTTTAAGAAGCCATCTAGACATCTGCAGCCAGCTGTCCAAACAGCCGTTATAGACAAGGCATCTGTAAGCACTCAGTACCAGCACTCACCTGACAACCGTCAATGAGTTGTTGTATTTTTCGTGGTTGACACCCATTACAAACATTGGTGCATCAGCACTGGGAGCTGAGATCACCACCCTCTTAGCTCCACCCTTCAGATGAGCCTAACAAATCAAAATGGATATTAAGACTGATTGTACAATCACTGATGCTTCAGGAAGCTCCAAAATTATGCAAACTAGATTGCATTAATTTAGAGATACAGGTCAGGATGATGAAAACTGTTCCTTCAACCAAGTTTGTCACTATTGTGACTTCAACATGTGAAACAATCCTGTCATCTTCAGTGTGAAACTGCACTTTAGACAGATGAGAAAGCACAACAGCAGCCAACTTACAGAAGCCTTCTCAATGGTGGTAAAGACACCAGTGGACTCTACAACATAGTCCACACCAGCATCACCCCACTTGATGTTGGCGGGGTCCCTCCTGTGCAGTTCAGAGAAGTTAGTTATTCAATCTGAGGCAAACTTTCTGGATAAAGTGCACGTGTGACTGTTACGTACTCTTGGAAGACCATGATGTGCATGTTACCGATGACCAGCTTGCCACCCTCAGTCTTCACCTCGCCGTGCTTCCAAGTGCCGTGAGTGGAGTCGTACTTGAACATGTAGGCCTGCATTAAGAGGTGACCATTAAAAATGCAACAAAACCTGCAGTTTCTTAAGAGAAGTCAACATGAGGTCTCTAAAACTTCCTGGTGTCCTTGACAACGCAGTCTTTGCTTAATGTTTCATTTAAGGACTTTGCTTTTCCTACATTACTAAACAGAATCAAACAGGCTTGTTAAGTACCATCAATTTATAGAGCAGAAGAAACTTGTCCTCTCACCATGTATTCCAGGTCAATGAAGGGATCATTGATGGCTACAACCTCAACCTTACCACCAGCAACAGCAGCACGAGTCACCAAACGACCAATACGTCCAAATCTGAAATGCAGGTCAGACTAAAGAATCAGTACAGATATGAAAGGGAGCAAGAACGACTAGGTTGTTGTGAGACAGTAAGGATGAAATTTGTTGAATTCAAACTGAAGACCCTTGTAATGTCTGCATAGTCCAATTAAAATATCAGGTTCCAGGCCCAAGTTTTTAAATTGCAACTATGTCCACTTTATTCATTTCCTGTCTGACCAGCAGGTTTAATCTGAGTCACTGCAGAGGATGGCTTTGCCATGCAAGGCCTGCCAACCTTGACTGAAGATAACAGTGGCTGGCACCAGCAGCTGATAGCCTGTTTAGGCCTAATATGGGCATTGTCAGTGAGGCAGATTGAAGAGTGTGGAACTAAGGAAGCATGAGGGTCGAAAGTTCAGAGCACGTTATAGGAGTGGAGATAAAGAGGGTTGTGAAGTAAGAGTTTGAGAGAAATCAAGATATGCTACAAAGACAAGTTTTTAAATCACCCAAACATTTGTCTCTAACTTTTTCATGTTTTGTGACAAGTTGAGTTAGTGCTTCAGAATTGAGTGTGTGGAGGTGTTTGAGTACAACAGTTGCTTGTGGGTTACCCAAACAGATTAGGCCATTCTTGTGAATTGCTGCCTCCAAGTAGATTTGGAGGCATACAAAAAAAAAAAACCAACAAAAAAACAATTTTGTCCAAGATGGCAAAAGGCACAATTTTCCTCATCAAGTTTAAGTTCTGAACAAACTTACAGTGGGATTTCATATGTGGATGAACCAAAAGCAGACTTTGCGACTGCAAGACTGAACCCGTGTTTAGTTATAGCTAAGATACAGTTGCCACATAGTTGGAATTTGATTGTATTCATGGCCTTTCAATAATACTGCATTTAGGCTCTATTGTATTTCAGCTTCTATCAGAGCAAACAAGGCTGCTCAATTCAAGATTTCTAAAGATGTGGTGAAACATGTTTCTTCATCGTGTAAACTGATTTGGAACATGCAACTCTCCTAAAGAAGTTGCTAAAAGCGTGCAGAAGTTAAACGTTCCCATTATGGACCAGCATACCAACTACTGTGTCGGAGGGAAGCCGATAGTAAATTCAGGGTTGAGGTCACCACTAGCTTTGGCTTTAGATCAAGCTGAAGACA